TTAGACCGACTTAAAAAACCTAAACAACCAGTTGAAAACAAACCAAACTAAAATTTTTACTGAGATGAAATGACCGAAGAAGTTGAAACCGTAGATTTGACACCACAAACAAAAAGTTCAGAACCATTGTCAAAACCTGTCAAAGAACTTACAGATGAAGAGAAAAATTCAATAATAGAAAGTGCCAGGTCTGGAAATACAAACCCTAACTACAAAGTCACTTTTCATAGAAATGGAACGGCTAGTATCTCAAAAAAGAAACAGACTCTCACAAATAAAATATTGAAGTCTGAAGGAGCTTTCGAGACAACAGATGGAAAAGTTTACTTCACTGACCAACAGTTCATTATAGAACATCTCATTGACTTAGAGTCGAAATATTCTAAACTTTACAACAAACACAAAAAGTTGAAGGAAAACAAAAACAAATGGCATATGATATTTATGAAGATGTTAACGACACAACTGTTCCTGCAGGTGAGGTAAAGTCAGAGGAACCGAAAAGTGACGAAAAAACCGATAGAAGAAGAAAAACCAAAAACTGAAGATAAACCAAAACCAAAGTTTAGTTTCCAAACTAAACCAAGTCAACCTTCATTAGCTGGTATGGGTTGGCGTCAAAGACTTATGGCAGCAGGCGGTTATGTAAAGTAAAGAAAAAAAATATTTTTTTATTTTTATAAAAATGCCCCCATATAGAATGGATAGAAAGTCTGCTAGAATAAAAGCAGAGTTACAAAGATATGGTTGGAGAGTTTCGAAGAATTTTAAATATAGGAAGGGAAGACCCATAAAAGTCTATGACAAATTGTCTGGTCTTCGCTACGAAATGGATTTGGAAACAGCACGTGCCAATTATCCAAACAGACTAGAGAGGTTAGAAGAAGAACGTCTTATGGACATGCCTTTCGATGTTAGTGAACCTCAAGTTGAAGGACACGACGGCTTTGCCAGATTCTACTGGAAACATGACGAACAATTGCATCCTTTGAGAAGGAAAAAAGGAAAAGGTGAAGACGCACATGCTCCCATGGAAAGAACAAGATATGCATATGAAAAGTATCGTGAAGTTAGAAGTCAAATTACATCTGGTCGAACCTTTACAGTAAACTTTGACGAAGGAAAGAACAAAGAAGGCTTCATGGGAGTACTTGCTGCAATTCAAGACGGAAATAAGAAAGGACACAATCTCAGATTGACCATAACAGATTTGGATGGTCACATTTACTATGCACATGGCAATGAACAAACAGCCGCAAAACTTCTTGACGCTTTCAAGACTACAAAGAGAGAACAAATGGTTGACTCAGACTCAGACATTTTGAATGCAATTGAAGGAATTGCAAGTGTCAAGTTCGAATGGCATGAACCTAACCCTCAAGCAGTCAGACAACATGCTGGATACTTCCCCTTCATAAATAAGTCTGACATTGACTTGACAAGGTATGGAATTTACAATTCAATTGAAACAATTGTCAATGAACCTTGTATTCTTACATGTCTCAGGAACTCTGGTCTTGTTACAGATGAGAAGATGAAGTATCTTGAGTCATGTGTGAAGACAAGGTACATGCTCAGAGGTCAATTGGCAAAAATTGCACCGTTGGCAAATGTCAATATCCAAGTCAACATACCTACAGCTAAAGGTTCTTCACATGACGACTATGTTGTTGAGTTCAATTTACCATGGTTGAAGATTGTAATTGTCCACAACCACTTCATGTTGAACGAAAGTCTTACAAACCCATTGTTCGGAAAAGGCAAGTGCAACATTGTCAGAGCTGTAAACATTCTTTTCGAGAAAGGTTTGTTGGAACCAATTCCAGATGACAAGCTTACAGAAAGTTTTGTACCAAAAGACGAAACAAACTTTTCACTGTTAGCAAGACCAAAAGTTGTTCCAGACAAAGTTCTAGTACAAAAGAAGTACACAATTCCACAAGGAGTTGGATTGTTCGGATACCAACCTGAACCAGAAGAACTTCCAATGAGGTTGCAAGAACTTCAAGATGCTATAAATAAACTTCCATTGAGACATCCAATTGACGTCAAATTGTATTGGAGAGCATCTTGAGTTAGGTCAGAAGGTTTTATATGAAACAGGTTGCTTCGACGATGTTTATGAGATAACAGGAGAAGTTTTCTCAGAAGATAAGAGACTCACTTGAATTTCCACAAACTGGACCAATTGGTTGCGCAAGTTCGACTCAAACGAAAAGATATACTATGTCGACCTTAACGCTGCGTACATGAGGTTTGTCAATATATTCCGACTGGAATTCCAAACGAAGATGGTGAGTTCCCGGGAAGAACTATACAGTTGGAAAAAGTCATACAACAACTGTATGATATTAGGAAAGCTTCAAACCCCAAACTTGCAATGACACTCAAATTGCTTATGAATTCGACATGGGGATATTCCATTAAGAAACCTCAAGAGATGAAGAGTAAACATTATGAGAAGGTCGACAACTTTGTTGAAAGGTTTTCTCCTTTTGTTTTGAAGTACGAATCACTCAAGCGTCAAAGTGGCTTAGTAACCACATTAAAACCTATTGTTGAACATTGGTCTTACCCTCAGTTCGCAAAGGCAGTCCTTGACAACTACAACAAATTCTTCTCCGAAGTCAAATCCAAAGTGAAGTTTACTATGAGAACATTGACGCACTCATGACGAACGAAGAAGGATACAACAAACTCATTGAAATGGGAATGGTCGTTGAAAGATGGGCTGCTTTTAAGCTAGATAAGGTATTTTCCGAAGTTCATGTCCTCTCCAAGCGTAAGTACTGGGGCATACTTGAGACGGCACAGAAATAAAACATTGCATGAAATAAAAAATTATTTTTAAAAAGTGACATTTTTAAATTTATTTGAAATGTACGCTGAGTTTGTTGGAGAAGACCGTTGGGGAAACTTGTTTGTTAGATGAAAATATGAAATGGCATACCATTTTAAAACAATATATTTTTACATATATTAAATGCTTCAGGTTGAAAAACAAAGAACAAAAGTAGCAGATACAAAACCGTTAGACTATATCTTTACAAATGCTGGTAGGACTATTTCAGATGAAGAATTTCATCCCGAGCATTACAGGTTTGACTATCCAATTCGTTGGCTTCAAAGTCCTTCAGATGCAAAGGCAATAGGATTTAGAAGAGTTTTGTTTTCAAATAGAACTAACGCATTTATGTTCGCAGTATATTTTCATGGGCAGTATAAAGGTCCTGATGGTCTAATAGACAAATTTGACGAAATGAGAATCTTTACAGTTCGTTCAGACGAAAGTCTTGAGAAAACTCTAAATGACTTTCAAACTCAAAATGAACAAATATTATTGGAATTTCAAAAAAAATACGACTCTTTACTAAATGGAACATACTATCTGAAACTAGAATATGACAAGATGAACTCCACCGTTTCATTTCAAAAGATTGAAATTAACCCTCCAGGAGATACAGAGTTTTTATTTTGGGAAGTAGACAAACGTTCTTGGGCACAATTTCTTCGGTTACTAAACCAGAACGAACCATTACCAGATGGTCCATTTAAATTTATACTTCCACCAGCAGATTTGATGGTTTATAGAAACGTGTTTGACCCTCAAAATGTTATGTGTCATGCAAGTTTCAGTTCAAGCAACAATAGTTTTCTATGTATTGGTAAGGACTTTTATGACTTTGCTTCTAAATTCTACGAACCATCTAGTAACAGTTTCTCTGACTTTCAAGTTTGGTTCACAACAAATGGTGTGCAACATATTATTCCATTGTACTATGACTTTTATCTCGAATTGTCTTTCATATATAACTACGGAAAAGTGCTGAAAAAGTATTGAAAAATAATGTTTATGTTAGCATGTTAGATCTCACCCGTTTTCTCACCTCTTTTCTCACCTCATGAATTTTCATGATTTCATCGTAAATGTTTTGTCAAGACTTCTTCGTAAACTAAACGTAAATGTTTTGTGAAGAATATAGCAACCGTCTGAATTCCGGCGGTTGGTTTTTATACAAAATTCATGCGGGAAATTCTTGAGTTTTGGTTGAAAGAATACGGTCGAGCCAAAAGTGGCTCGACCTCAAAACAAGCATTTTATGAGCTTACAAAGGGTGTTATGAATGAATTCAGCAACATACATCCTGACCTCGTTCATTTTGTTGCTAAATTCAGTAAAAATAATGTTTAGGTGAAGAGGTGACATCTCACCCGTTTTCTCACCTCTTTTCTCACCTCATGAATTTTCATGAATTTCATCGTAAATGTTTTGTCAAGACTTCTTCGTACATGTTTTGTCAAGACTTCTTCGTACATGTTTTGTCAAGACTTCTTCGTACATGTTTTGTCAAGACTTCTTCGTAAATGTTTTGTCGAAACTTCTTCGTAAATGTTTTGTCAAGACTTCTTCGTACATGTTTTGTCAAGACTTCTTCGTACATGTTTTGTCAAGACTTCTTCATCGTAATGAGCGTAAATGACTCAAAAATATAATTTAGGTGAAGAGGTGACATCTCACCTGTTTTCTCACCTCTTTTCTCACCTCATGAATTTTCCCGAAATAAAAAATAAAGTTAGTTTTATTTTATTTATTTTTTTTTATTTTGTATAAAAGAACAGAAATGTCAACAATCGGCACAACAACAATTCAAACTACAGCACCAAACTCGTTAGTTATGAATCCAACATCTATGTTAGTAGAAATGAAAAACTTCATTCCTTCTTCATATACTTTTGAAACAGAAATCCAGAAGATAAAGCAAGAACTTTTAACAAGTAATTTAGACTGTAGTGCGAAAGATGAAGAAAATGAACAGTATCTTTATGAAATGCAGGACATTATTGACCATTTACCCAAATTGCCTGAAATCCAACAGCAAAAACTAACTATTCCTGAATTCGACGAAATTGAAGTCAAAGCAACTGACTCAGTAGAAATAAAGAAGTTCATACGAAAGGTAAATTATGAATTCCTTGGTTTTCATTGCAACCATAAAGTTATGGACAAAGATTGCGATATGGTATATAAGAACATCTCTGACATATATAAATCTGAAGAATTTAAGACCTACGACAACTTTGTTTCGTTAGTTGCAGAATGTGTATGGCAGATAAGAGATAAAGATAGAAGAGGTAAGGTATGGAATGAACAGATAAAACCAGCAGCTTTTGAGTTAAAGAAAACCATTGACGCCTTGGTTGTTTTAGCAGGTAAGGTTTCAGAATATAACGCAAAAATGAACCCGCAATGTTCTAAATGTAAAGCAGCAATGAGGAAATATAACTACTCCGTCAAAGAGATAGAACGTATGCGAAACGACTATGCAGATTTAAAGAAAGAAGCAGAAAAGCCAGCAGAAAATAAAATGGACATGTTAGAATTTCTGAACAAAAACTATCCAACTGCTGACGATTTCCTTCTATCTGACGTCAAGAAGAAGTATAAAGAAACTTTCGGTATCGTTAAAACATTCGATGTACTAAAAGAAGAAATAGAAGCTACGAAATTGTTTAAAGTCATGAACCATCGCAACATATACCATGTAAAACGCTTGTAAATAGTTATGTTAGAAAAGAGGTTAGAAAACGTGTTAGATCTAACATGTTAACATAAACATTATTTTTGCTGAATTCAGCACAAAATTCTGAGTAAAATGGCATATGGCATGTGTCAAACCGTTGAGTTTTCACAAAATTCCAAAAATAACGTTTACCATGTAAAACGCTTATGTTAGAAAAAATGTTATTTTCTAATATTCTAACATAAACATTATTTTTGAGGAAAAAAATGAAGGTTCTATACGGTTTCTAACCGTTAACAAGCTTGCCTTTTACATTCTGCCTGAGGAAGTCTTTAACAAGCTCGTTAATTTCAATTAGGTAAATTGCCTCGTCGGTAGGTTCGACTTCGACCATTGCTACTGACATTAGCAGTACTTTTACTGACAGTAGCAGTACTTTTACTGACAGTAGCAGTATTTTTACTGACAGTAGCAGTACTTTTACTGACAGTAGCAGTATTTTTACTGACAGTAGCAGTATTTTTACTGACAGTAGCAGTATTTTTACTGACAGTAGCAGAGATTTTTATCGTTGTGGTCCGACGGTTAAGCCACAAACGAATGTCCCACGTCCCACCAACCGAGTCCAATCTCAATCCAGAAGAACCGAAAGCACCAGCCCCTGCACCTCAGTTCCAGCAATTCCAATCTCAAACCAAATCGAAGAGAGACCAAGAGTTCGAAGAAGGTCTGAACCGTTTACGCAAAGATTATGCCACAGCTCCAATTGAGAGAAAGTTGTTCCCGGACCAAAAATATAATTTAGGTGAAGCCCACATTGCAACAGCATTTACAAGAAGTCTATGTACATAATATCCTTTCAAACCAGGAGCCAAATTCTTGCGATTTTCATACGGAATCTCTTCTCTCGGTTTTCCGAGAGAAGCAAGCATATGCCATTTTACTCAGAATTTTGTTGCTGAATTCAATAAAAATATATTTTAGGTGAAGAGGTGACATCTCACCCGTTTTCTCACCTGTTTTCTCACCCTCTTGAATTTGTCAAAACTTCTTCGTAAACGTTATTTTTTAAATTTTGTGAAAACTCAACGGTTTGACACATGCCCTAAAAATTATTTTACTCAGAATTTTGTTGCTGAATTCAATAAAAATATATTTTAGGTGAAGAGGTGACATCTCACCCGTTTTCTCACCTCTTTTCTCACCCTAGTTATTTTATAAGCGTTTTACATGAATTGTACGATGTATATTTGAAATCTTAAACAGTTTCGTAGCTTCTATTTCTTCTTTTAGTACATCGAATGTTTTAACGATACCGAAAGTTTCTTTATACTTCTTCTTGACGTCAGATAGAAGGAAATCGTCAGCAGTTGGATAGTTTTTGTTCAGAATTCTAACATGTCCATTTTATTTTCTGCTGGCTTTTCTGCTTCTTTCTTTAAATCTGCATAGTCGTTTCGCATACGTTCTATCTCTTTGACGGAGTAGTTATATTTCCTCATTGCTGCTTTACATTTAGAACATTGCGGGTTTTTTTGCGTTATATTCTGAAACCTTACCTGCTAAAACAACCAAGGCGTCAATGGTTTTCTTTAACTCAAAAGTTGCTGGTTTTATCTGTTCATTCCATACCTTACCTCTTCTATCTTTATCTCTTATTTCCCAAACACATTTTGCAACTAATGAAACAAAGTTGTCGTAGGTCTTAAACTCCCCAGATTTATATATGTCAGAGATGTTCTTATATACCATATCGCAATCTTTGTCCATAACTTTATGGTTGCAATGAAAACCAAGGAATTCATAATTTACCTTTCGTATGAACTTCTTTATTTCTACTGAGTCAGTTGCTTTGACTTCAATTTCGTCGAATTCAGGAATAGTTAGTTTTTGCTGTTGGATTTCAGGCAATTTGGGTAAATGGTCAATAATGTCCTGCATTTCATAAAGATACTGTTCATTTTCTTCATCTTTCGCACTACAGTCTAAATTACTTGTTAAAAGTTCTTGCTTTATCTTCTGGATTTCTGTTTCAAAAGTATATGAAGAAGGAATGAAGTTTTTCATTTCTACTAACATAGATGTTGGATTCATAACTAACGAGTTTGGTGCTGTAGTTTGAATTGTTGTTGTGCCGATTGTTGACATTTCTGTTCTTTTATACAAAATAAAAAAAAATAAATAAAATAAAACTAACTTTATTTTTTATTTCGGGAAAATTCATGAGGTGAGAAAAGAGGTGAGAAAACAGGTGAGATGTCACCTCTTCACCTAAATTATATTTTTGAGTCATTTACGCTCATTACGATGAAGAAGTCTTGACAAAACATGTACGAAGAAGTCTTGACAAAACATGTACGAAGAAGTCTTGACAAAACATTTACGAAGAAGTTTCGACAAAACACTTACGAAGAAGTCTTGACAAAACATGTACGAAGAAGTCTTGACAAAACATGTACGAAGAAGTCTTGACAAAACATGTACGAAGAAGTCTTGACAAAACATTTACGATGAAATTCATGAAAATTCATGAGGTGAGAAAAGAGGTGAGAAAACGGGTGAGATGTCACCTCTTCACCTAAACATTATTTTTACTGAATTTAGCAACAAAATGAACGAGGTCAGGATGTATGTTGCTGAATTCATTCATAACACCCTTTGTAAGCTCATAAAATGCTTGTTTTGAGGTCGAGCCACTTTTGGCTCCACCGTATTCTTTCAACCAAAACTCAAGAATTTCCTGTGTGAATTTTGTATAAAAAGCAACCGTCTGAATTCCGGCGGTTGCTATATTCTTCACAAAACATTTACGAAGAAGTCATGACAAATTCAAGAGGTGAGAAAAAAGGTGAAAAAAGAGGTGAGATCTAACATGCTAACATAAACATTATTTTTCAATACTTTTTCAGCACTTTTCCGTAGTTATATATGAAAGACAATTCGAGATAAAAGTCATAGTACAATGGAATAATATGTTGCACACCATTTGTTGTGAACCAAACTTGAAAGTCAGAGAAACTGTTACTAGGTGGTTCGTAGAATTTAGAAGCAAAGTCATAAAAGTCCTTACCAATACATAGAAAACTATTGTTGCTTGAACTGAAACTTGCATGACACATAACATTTTGAGGGTCAAACACGTTTCTATAAACTGTCAAATCTGCTGGTGGAAGTATAAATTGAAATGGACCATCTGGTGGTAATGGTTCGTTCTGGTTTAGTAACCGAAGAAATTGTGCCCAAGAACGTTTGTCTACTTCCCAAAATAAAAACTCTGTATCTCCTGGAGGGTTAATTTCAATCTTTTGAAATGAAACGGTGGAGTTCATCTTGTCATATTCTAGTTTCAGATAGTATGTTCCATTTAGTAAAGAGTCGTATTTTTTTTGAAATTCCCAATAATATTTGTTCATTTGAGTTTGAAAGTCATTTAGAGTTTTCTCAAGACTTTCGTCTGAACGAACTGTAAAGATTCTCATTTCGTCAAATTTGTCTATTAGACCATCAGGACCTTTATACTGCCCATGAAAATATACTGCGAACATAAATGCGTTAGTTCTATTTGAAAACAAAACTCTTCTAAATCCTATTGCCTTTGCATCTGAAGGACTTTGAAGCCAACGAATTGGATAGTCAAACTTGTATGCTCGGGATGAAATTTCTTCATCTGAAATAGTCCTACCAGCATTTGTAAAGATATAGTCTAACGGTTTTGTATCTGCTACTTTTGTTCTTTGTTTTTCAACCTGAAGCATTTAATATATGTAAAAATATATTGTTTTAAAATGGTATGCCATTTCATATTTCTCATCTAACAAACAAGTTTCCCAACGGTCTTCTCCAACAAACTCAGCGTACATTTCAAATAAAATTTAAAAAATGTCACTTTTTTAAAAATAATTTTTTATTTCATGCAATGTTTTATTTCTGTGCCGTCTTCAAGTATGCCCCAGTACTTACGCTTGGAGAGGACATGAACTTCGGAAATACCTTATCTAGCTTAAAACAGCCCTCTTTTCACCGACCATTCCCATTTCAATGAGTTTGTTGTATCCTTCTTCGTTCGTCATGAGTGCGTCAATGTTCTCATAGTAAACCTTCACTTTGGATTTGACTTCGGAGAAGAATTGTTGTAGTTGTCAAGGACTGCTTTTGCGAACTGAGGGTAAGACCAATGTTCGACAATAGGTTTTAATGTGGTTACTAAGCCACTTTGACCTTGAGTGAATTCGTACTTCAAAACAAAAGGAGAAAACCTTTCAACAAAGTTGTCGACCTTCTCATAATGTTTACTCTTCATCTCTTGAGGTTTCTTAATGGAATATCCCCATGTCGAATTCATAAGCAATTTGAGTGTCATTGCAAGTTTGGGGTTTGAAGCTTTCCTAATATCATACAGTTGTTGTATGACTTTTCCAACTGTATAGTTCCTTCCGGGAACTCACCATCTTCGTTTGGAATTCCAGTCGGAATATATTGGACAAACCTCATGTACGCAGCGTTAAGGTCGACATAGTATATCTTTTCGTTTGAGTCGAACTTGTCGCAACCAATTGGTCCAGTTTGTGGAAATTCAAGTGAGTCTCTTATCTTCTGAGAAACTTCTCCTGTTATCTCATAAACATCGTCGAAGCAACCTGTTTCATATAAAACCTTCTGACCTAACTCAGATGCTCTCCAATACAATTTGACGTCAATTGGATGTCTCAATGGAAGTTTATTTATAGCATCTTGAAGTTCTTGCAACCTCATTGGAAGTTCTTCTGGTTCAGGTTGGTATCCGAACAATCCAACTCCTTGTGGAATTGTGTACTTCTTTTGTACTAGAACTTTGTCTGGAACAACTTTTGGTCTTGCTAACAGTGAAAAGTTTGTTTCGTCTTTTGGTACAAAACTTTCTGTAAGCTTGTCATCTGGAATTGTTCCAACAAACCTTTCTCGAAAAGAATGTTTACAGCTCTGACAATGTTGCACTTGCCTTTTCCGAACAATGGGTTTGTAAGACTTTCGTTCAACATGAAGTGGTTGTGGACAATTACAATCTTCAACCATGGTAAATTGAACTCAACAACATAGTCGTCATGTGAAGAACCTTTAGCTGTAGGTATGTTGACTTGGATATTGACATTTGCCAACGGTGCAATTTTTGCCAATTGACCTCTGAGCATGTACCTTGTCTTCACACATGACTCAAGATACTTCATCTTCTCATCTGTAACAAGACCAGAGTTCCTGAGACATGTAAGAATACAAGGTTCATTGACAATTGTTTCAATTGAATTGTAAATTCCATACCTTGTCAAGTCAATGTCAGACTTATTTATGAAGGGAAGTATCCAGCATGTTGTCTGACTGCTTGAGGGTTAGGTTCATGCCATTCGAACTTGACACTTGCAATTCTTCAATTGCATTCAAAATGTCTGAGTCTGAGTCAACCATTTGTTCTCTCTTTGTAGTCTTGAAAGCGTCAAGAAGTTTGCGGCTGTTTGTTCATTGCCATGTGCATAGTAAATGTGACCATCCAAATCTGTTATGGTCAATCTGAGATTGTGTCCTTTCTTATTTCCGTCTTGAATTGCAGCAAGTACTCCCATGAAGCCTTCTTTGTTCTTTCCTTCGTCAAAGTTTACTGTAAAGGTTCGACCAGATGTAATTTGACTTCTAACTTCACGATACTTTTCATATGCATATCTTGTTCTTTCCATGGGAGCATGTGTGTCTTCACCTTTTCCTTTTTTCCTTCTCAAAGGATGCAATTGTTCGTCATGTTTCCAGTAGAATCTGGCAAAGCCGTCGTGTCCTTCAACTTGAGGTTCACTAAACATCGAAAGGCATGTCCATAAGACGTTCTTCTTCTAACTCTCTAGTCTGTTTGGATAATTGGCACGTGCTGTTTCCAAATCCATTTCGTAGCGAAGACCAGACAATTTGTCATAGACTTTTATGGGTCTTCCCTTCCTATATTTAAAATTCTTCGAAACTCTCCAACCATATCTTTGTAACTCTGCTTTTATTCTAGCAGACTTTCTATCCATTCTATATGGGGCATTTTTATAAAAATAAAAAAATATTTTTTTCTTTACTTTACATAACCGCCTGCTGCATAAGTCTTTGACGCCAACCCATACCAGCTAATGAAGGTTGACTTGGTTTAGTTTGGAAACTAAACTTTGGTTTTGGTTTATCTTCAGTTTTTGGTTTCTCTTCTTCTATCGGTTTTTCGTCACTTTTTGGTTCCTCTGACTTTACTTCACTTGCAGGAACAGTTGTGTCGTCAACATCTTCATAAATATCATATGCCATTTGTTTTTGTTTTCCTTTCAACTTTTTGTGTTTGTTGTAAAGTTTAGAATATTTCGACTCTAAGTCAATGAGATGTTCTATAATGAACTGTTGGTCAGTGAAGTAAACTTTTCCATCTGTTGTCTCGAAAGCTCCTTCAGACTTCAATATTTTTATTTGTGAGAGTCTGTTTCTTTTTTGAGATACTAGCCGTTCCATTTCTATGAAAAGTGACTTTGTAGTTAGGGTTTGTATTTCCAGACCTGGCACTTTCTATTATTGAATTTTTCTCTTCATCTGTAAGTTCTTTGACAGGTTTTGACAATGGTTCTGAACTTTTTGTTTGTGGTGTCAAATCTACGGTTTCAATTCTTCGGTCATTTTCAGGTCCGTAAAAAATTTTAGTTTGGTTTGTTTTCAACTGGTTGTTGTTGTTTTTTAAGTCGGTCTAAAACTTCCTGAGGTATAGGAAGAACTTGACAAACACGTGGTGTAACTGCTGGAAGTCGACAAATCCATCTTGAACCCATTTGTCTCAATGCTGTATTGTTCATTTCATCTCAGTAAAAAATTTTACATTCCCCACGTTTGAGGTGGTTGCGGTTGGTTATTGTTTACCCACTGTTGTGCATGGTTATATCCTCTGTTAAAGAATCTTTCACCTTGGTCCATATAGTGTCCTGCTTGGTTATAGTAGTCATTTGCTTTGTTATAATAGTTTCCTGCTTGTCTTCCTACATTGTCCATCCATCCTTGAACTTTTCCTCTTGTTTCAGGATTTGGAATAAGATTTGCTGCATCTCGTGCTACCTCCCAACCTTTCTGTACAGTTTGTATAATAGGTTGTGCTTTCTCTTTAAGTATAC